GTGCAAAAATTTTGGCCAATATACTAGCATCATGCATCAACTTTGGACAAGGATAGTGATGGGAAAATTGCTGGTAATATGTAATTACCATATCAGCCGATTTGTTTTTTGGGCCCTTCTTTCAAACCCTACACACATGTAAACTCGATAGGTCGGTCATTTATTTATTTTAAACAATTGATTGTTGCATTCGGCTTATATGTATATCTTATTGTATGTGTATAACTGGTCAGTAGAATGATGATTAACCCTAAAAAAATTTATTTGCTCCGCCAAAAAAAAACTATTTTATTATTTCGTCAAACCAATGGCACCACCTCAAAACTAATGGATTATTGCTAGTATAGGGTATTCATAACGTTATGATCATACCATACTGAATTTTGAGTTCAATCAAAATCGATACATATGCTCAAAGTACACTTTTTGAGAACCTAGAGTTTTAATTTTATTAATTGTGTTATACATGGCATTTTATATAGCAATTCAATATGTATTTACCATGGTGATTATTCTCAATTCTTTTTTATCATGATGATAAGACAAAGGGTTCCGAATCTAAATCATTTTTTTGGTGACATCACTATACTGATATATATAAAATCAATATGGTCGGTTTAATTGGTCAATTTCAATTTCGTCAATTTCGTCACATTTCGTCAAATGGGACGAATTAACAACGGTTTGACGAAATAATTCCCCTCCCTGCAAAGTATTTCGCCAACCATTCTTGGTGGACATGTTTCTGTAAATAAATTCCAAGTCATGTGTGTCCACTAATTTATCAAAAAAAAAATTTTTTAACTTTTTTTTTTAATTCTTAAAAAAAAATGACAACCACTTTTCTTTTTTTTCAAGAGAAAGTAATTAAAGGTCCTCGACTCGGAAAAATGGATTTATTACAATTAAGAGAATTTGTGAAGACTTAATAAAAAATGGGATAGAACAAGAATTAAACAACGTGAGTGAAGATTATGAAGAGGCGAAGGAGAATTTGAAAGAGTGTGAAGAGGAGTGGGGAAAGAGGTTGAAGGAATTGAAGAAAGGGGCGGTGAAAGATTATACTGGTGAGAAGTATGAGTTGAATGAAGAAAAAGAAAAATTGATGAAGGATAAAAGATGAGAGATGGGAGCAGGCGAAGAGATTTCAAGATGCATTAATAGAATTTGGTGGAGAGAAAAGTAATGAACAAATTGCATAAAAAAATATACAAAAAATTATTTTCCATTTCGTTTATATATTGTTCTTATAGCATAATATAGCTTTTTACTCATTCATCATTAACCAAATTAATCTTTTTCTCTATTTTTTTATGAATTTTTAACAATGCGAATTAACTTGTTCTTTTATTCAATCAGAAAAAGAAAACTAGAGGATTCAGATGAGGAAAATGAAGGTTTAAACAAAAAAAGATAGAAACTAATAGGTACATGTACCTATTACATTGCATGGGAAATACATTCTTGCAATTTATGATGAATGCCACATAATCTTCTAGCTATTATGCATTATATTAATATTTTCTTGTTATTTTCATACAAAACTGAAAGATCTTAGGAATCTGGTTTGATTCAAATCAATTTGAATCAAGTCATGAATCAAATCGAATTGACTACAGATCAAATTGAATTGAATTGAATCACTCTCAAATTCGATTCAATTCAATTCGTTCAGGGCCATATGTATCACCAATGACCAGGAGAATAACTGTCTTCACTAGGTTGACCTGTCACATGTCAAATTTCTAGTTTTAGTTCTTCCTCTTTATTGACTAATTGCTTTTTCAATGTTCAATTTCATTTAATAATTCTTTATTTGATTGTTGTTGTTCATCTATAATGTTTACCATGATTTTTGTTAATTATATTCTTCAATTTTTAATAAATACTTAAATATCTTTCTTTTTATAAAAGCATTATTAAGTATATGAAATATTCATTAGGCTGCGCCTCAAAATAAAGCTAGTCTAGTTTTAGACATTATTTGGAGTTAATTTTTAAATTTGATTAGCGTGCATAGATTCCGCCGATTGAATTCGAACGTCATTATTATTTCTAGATTTGGTTAGCAAAATTCTGCACCCATTTATTTTAACCAAATATGAATTCGATCGATTAATATGATATACAGTCATATATACCTCTTTTATATAAACAAGGGGGATATAAAAAGAAGTACGACTGTAATGGGATTCATAAAACGTATATAATTAATATATACAGTCAGAACTCGTTAAACCGAGTCAATAGATAAATTTAATAGGTAAATAATAAAGCAACATCGGTTTATCGTGTATATTCGCTTATCAAAGCATGAACACATGATTTCTGTCGACGCTTTCGAACATTCGTAATACATGCGAGCATTCGTAACTCGATATACGTAACCAAATACCAATTACGTGTTATTAATTTCCTTATTATTAATTATATAGATCTGTGACTATCAGTCAAAATTGTATAAAAATTATTAGATTATTTTTCACAAAAAAAATTTTACCATTAAAATGTATACCAAAAATCTTCCTTACTCCTCTACAATAAAGGATGAAGCTGAATTTTTGTTAAATGATATAGTGTTAAACTTATGTGCCTCCGCAAAAGCCAGAGATTGGGGCACTGGTTGTAGCCATTGGGTTAAACAACTTAACGGGTATGAGATTTATTCTTATTCTGCATAAATTGCAAGCTTATTTGATATCGAATTTTTAGCATTTTTAAAATATAACCAACCTGTCCTACATTGAAAAAAGACTTAAATTTATTATCCTTTTACTAATGTATTTATTTTGATCGAATTTAAATTTTATTATAGATATCTTGATCTTCATTATTCATTATCATGCCAAATTCGAGTTCAATTAGCCCAAGTGCTTTTTGAATTAGTTATTACTCCAGGAATTGATGCATCACATGCTGAGGTTTTTTCAAATACTTGTGCTCGCTTACTCAAGTATGATTATTATTATTAGTTCATCGTCATCTTTTTTATATTTTTTAATAATAATTTTAATATAATTTTTTTCAAATCATTTTTCCAAAAACAAAAAAAAAAGAAAAAAGGATAAAATCGGTCCTGAGGATTTAACTTTACCTTGGGAACCATTATATGATAAAATTCATAATACATTTTTTCCAAAAAGTCGTCAAAAAACTTTAGTCAGTGAATCGTATCCTATATTTTTACACGAATCGCATGATGCCACATGCTGCACTTTGTGTCGTTTTCGCATTATATACTAATATATATATGTGTGCACTTTATTTTCAATTTTATTCTTAACTATCTGATTCTTTTTTAATAGTAAACAAATTGGGTCGATTGTCCGTTTAGTGGAACATGCTCAAAGGTAAAATAAAAATATAAAATAACAATTTATATATATATACATACATATATAAGCAAATAAATATGGCTTTCAAAATCATTACCTATTAGATTTTTTCCCCCAGAATCAACAAAAGAAATTCTTTCAAAGATTTTGCCTTTATTCCATGCTAATTCAATTGGAGATACATTTACCGTACAAGCGTTCCTTGTACGGTTTTTGCCTACCACTCCAACTGCACCACCAAATCTGTCACCAGTAGATTGGCTTCCAACAATCTTTTCATTTTGGTATCTTATACAAGGATCATCCGTATTCCAAACAGAATTTATCGATCTAATGGCTCGTGTTGCAGAAGATAATGTTGTGGTCGAAAATACCGATCCAAAAAATATTGGGATTTTTACTCAAGTGCAGGCCAAAACAATATTTGGTTCAGGTCAAAAAATGATGGATTTGCCTGTGGGTAGCACTAGTACTGGTAATAATAGTTTAGGAAGAAGCACATCTTCAAGGATCGACTCTAGAGCTGGTAGTGCTATGTTATTAAGGAAAAGAGGGGTAATCTTCATTTTCTTATTTAATAGTTTTTATTAGAGATTAATGATTAAATTAATTTTAACTTTAATAGGATAAATTTAAAATGTTGGCAAGATTCATTGTTTACACAATGTTTACAACATCCGAAAATGAGGAATCAACTTTAACACATTTGGCTAACATGATTCAAGCTATTGAATCATTCTATCATCCAAGTAATTTTGGAAGATGGACTTATTCAATTGTAAAATTTCTACAATATCTTGGTTGGGAATTCTTAAAAAGATGGACTGACGGTAACAATATTTACCACTGTTGTTGTCGTCGTTATAATAGTAGTATAAACAACTTGACCAATTCAAAATTTTTTTATTTAGAACAAAAGTCAGATTGCAAAACACCAGTATCACGGCGATTAACTCCAGAAATTAGACGTCAATTTGTTCTAACGTTAAGAGGCGTTACCTTTTTATCTATGTTTGGAAAAGATGCTATGTCTGTTGGATCAAGTCAAGCGTCACTCAAATATTTAGCTTGTATCTTTATCAAATTAAAAAACAATTAGATTGATTAATTGATTTAATTGATAATATCAAGTACATGCATAATTATTATATTTCCATAACCTATTTACAATTATGATTTTTTGATGATATAGGGTTGGAACCTTCGTTGATCTTTCCTGGATTGTTGGAACGCGTATATCCATCATTAGAAACCTTGACCGAGGTATATACATTTATAATTTATACAATAATAAATTCTTTTAATGTTTTTTATATTAATTATTTTCAAAAAAAAAAAATTTTTTTTTTGGAAAAAGACACATCGAACAACATCATCTATATCAGCACTTTCACTGCTAGCTATCCCATTATTTTCACGAACTCAATACCCAGCCGGCGGAAAACATCTTGCGCCTCTTCTTCATCTAATAATTCCTGGTATTGATATGAATGATCCAATCAAAACAATATCTTCCTTGGTATTTGTTACCCATACGTTAATGGGCGTGCCATTGAGTGATTTGACAGATGGTAATAATGATCCTAGTTCTGG